TACCAGCTAAGGAGTGAAAGGGAACAGGTGGTTCCATCTGCAAAGGTATAGAAGGCTCTGCAGGTGAGATCTGCCCAGCGGGGAAGTCCAAGTTTAGCAGATCACTACAATTCTCCATGAAACTACCTTTAAAGGATGGAGCCAGAAAGGGGAAGAAAATGTTGAAATCCACAAAAAAGGCACAAATCTCACTTTGGATGTGGTTCATCTATCTGTCCTTGCTAGAAGTGTTCAAGAAGGAATTAGAATTCTAGTCTAACCAAATGAGAAAAATAAAGGAAGAAATGGTTTTGTCCGCTCTCCATCTTTTTCCCCTCAATCCTGGGGCCAGGACCCTTAGGGGTAGTGAGTGGGCAGGAGGAGAGAGGAGACAACCCCAAAGTGAAGCTCATGCCTTTCTCTTCCTCTCCATCATGGGCACGGTGTTCTGGCTCCACTTACAGGGAAAGGTGGAGGAAGATACAAACAATAGGAGATCACTGAGTTTAGAGCAGGATGGCATCTCAAGAGACGACATGGAGAGGCAGCAGGACACAGGGAAGCAGACTGTCCAGGTTCAAACCCCAGCCCTACTCTTTACTAGCTGGGTGATGTCAGGCAAGTCACTCAACCTCCCTGTTACTCAGTTTCTTCACTCATTCTAAATGGAGATGATGGTAATACCTTTCTCACAGGATCACTGTGAGGATTCTGATATATGCAAATATTTGTAGGTATTACTATTGCCAGAGAAGGCAGTCCTGGGGCTTTAGGCTGCACTGATCCACATTCTCATTTCAGGAAGTGTGTAGCACTCCTGTCTTTATAGGGAAATGTTCCAAGGGAAGCCACAGCATTTAAGTTTCACAGACAGCTTTTTTGAATTGGAGCAAGAGATGGGTTAGTCTGTGACAACTATTCCCCAAACCAGAATGGCGGCTCAGTAGCTTCATCCTGGGGACCTTCCTCCAAGATAATTACACTCACTTTCCTCTCCCACCTTGGCTACTTCTAGTCTTTCATGACTCATTCCCCTCTTGTGTGTCCTCTCAGCATTTGGCTACCAGGAATCAGTAGAATAATCCAAACCCATCCCATTCTCTCTGTCCCAAACACCTGGGCCTAGGATTGCCTCAAACTTGAGTCATTCAAGTCCCAACATGAGAAACACAAGGTCTGGGTGGCTCTCTGGCTGGACTCCCTCTAACAACGGGGTTACAGCAGATGGATTCCTCTCTGTGACTGATTATTTTCCATGGCCCTTGGCCATGTGACCTTGGACCATGATCTTGTCAGTTCTCATAAACTAACCAGGAGTGGAATGAATCACACTCAGAGAGGAGACCTCTGGGGGAAACTGCAAGAGGCTATGAGAGGGAGGAGAGAGCTGGGGATCCCAAAGGCCATGGGAGCCTCACCACCCCTCCGGCCTTCCCTGTCTCTAAGCAGTTTCGACCTTCCACAAAGGGAACGAGGAGGAGGCAATGGCCTTGGGAGACAGCCTGGGCTGCAGGAGGCCTACTCTTCTGAATAAGATTCAGGGTATCAGTCCAAGAGCCCAGTAATCCCTCCAACTCAGAGAGATTACCTGCCTCAGCTACTCACTGAACTGTTGGTTGTGGACACCCAAACCCCTATTCTTAGATGCCCCAATCCATCATAACATATATGAAATAGCCAACACACACGCACATGTGCATGAGCACCCATACCTACTGCAGGGACTGGCTATCCTGCAGGAGGTGATGAAAATGTTGGGTAAGGCACTCTAGGCCCTTGAAATAGTGTTGATGGTGAAGAGGTTTTGAGAATGCTACTTGAAGTGTTTATATTATGCCAAACACATTGATTAAAACTGAAAATGAAATGCCAATGAAATCTTCATATTCTCAAATATCCTGAATTTGGGTGTTGTACAAACAAAACCCTGATCTTCTCTGCCTAAATTTTTTACTTTAAATAATCTTTGAATTTCAAAGTTTTGTGTCTCTGTAGCTTTAGATCATGAGTTACCTTGAGTTCTCTGACAAGTTAATATATTGTTAGAGAAATCATTTCTGAATAAAATATGCACAAGTAAACAAATCCCTTAACTATGTATACATTCTAATTTCTTTCTGGGCATTCATTTGATTGGGTCCTGGGGAGCAGAGAACATATACGTGTGTGTCCAGGGGCAGAGCACATGGATTTATGCATACACAAAAACTCAGAGCACAGCACACTGTTTTAAGAGTCTGAACTTTATCTTTCAACAAAGTTTAGCTGCTTTTCTTTTGCAAATGCATTTAATTTTATCTGGAAACTTTCTGACGTTAGAAATAGAACAACTGTAGTTTCTCATTATGTTTGCTGCCAGAATCCATGCTTGGTTGCTCAACTAAAGACCTTATATTGCTAATTACTACCACATGCCCATATCCCAAGCGAAAGAAAACTTATTGATTCTGACAGCTCATTCTCTCAACACTGAATTCCAAATGAAAACTCAAAATTTGGCCAAACATAACATTTCATCAATCTTGTTTTACTGACTGGAAAAACAACATCAAACAAAGGGTGCTAATGGCCCTTTATTACCGTGCCTTTCCCAAGCTTATATTTTCTGATGAAAGATCTAAGTGACCAAAGGGCTTCTTTAAACTACTTAGTAATTAGCTTTTGAACCAGGAAACAATGCGTAAAGTAAAGTGAACAGGCCCGGTGCTGATGACAGGACGGACTCTGTGTCTGCAGGGTCAGGAACAGTGGGGACCCAAAAAGAACATTAAAAGCAAAGTGCATTTCATAAAGGGAGAAGAAAAAAACAGAGAGAGAGAGAGAAAAAAAAAAATCAGGCTAAAAGCGGTGATAAAAGATTACAGAGCCAGAACAGAATGGCAGGAAGTCTGTGATCTGAAGTCATCAGCACCTGAAAGTTTGAGTGTAACTGCCAGGGTGAAACATGACCAGATCGGACCTGGGGCAGTGAGTGAGTGCCGCGCGGAGGGCCCCATCTGGGTCAGCCGGCACCAAAAGCTACCGGCCTCCAGCCCACCCACCAGCTCACCCACATTTGACTAGGAAAATTATTTCATTAAAAAAAAATTACCTGGAATGAGAGTCAAGAAATATTTTCAATCTAGCCTTCAGGGCAATTGATTTTATTGACTTCTTCAGGGGCAGTGATTGGGAAATGCTGGTGGTGACATTGGGAGATAGGGAGGCCATAAAGAGAGCCCCAGGCCCTCAGAATGCCTTCTGCTTTATGGAGACCTGTCCACACCTTCAAGGCAAAATGAATCGAGATGCTGTTTTCCTCTTGGCATGGGATACATGACCAATGGGAATCTCTGGACTTATTTGGCCTTTTGGATCCAACCAATGGCCCAGAAATCAGAACAGCTTGGTTCTAACCTCATTCAGGGCTGTTAAGATAATAGTGAGGGGAGGGCTCCATTAGAGGGAAGATGGAGGGATGTGCTGCCTCTCTGAAAAGACGCCAACTGGCCTCCTCTGGCCCACTGTCCTTTGTGCCTTTGAAAAGAAACTGGTGTCCTGTGGGTAGTTCAAGAAAATGAGCCCTTTTGTCCACCTCCTCATTTCCTGTGCAGAGGCCTGGACACCTGAGCTCAGGAAGCATTGGACTCACTGACCAAAGGGGAGGTTCCACTCTGCCCGACATGGCTGACTGTCAAAATGAGGAGAAGGCAGCAGTGGAGGGAAATACAATGCTCCCGGTCTGATTTTATTTCCTCTTAAAAAAACCAAAGAAGCTCTTTAAGAGTTCATTTGAAACTGAACGAGAAGGGAAAGCAAAACAAAACAAAACAAAACAGTTCCATGATGGGAACTTCCATGACTGGGAAGAGGCGGGAGTGATGAAAAGTTTTCTGTGTCCTGATCCGGATGACAGGATGGTAGTTACTGGGTGTGTACATAGGTACAAGTTCCTCACTCTATATGTTAAAGATGTGTACATTTAACTCTATGTAAGTTATACCTCAAAACCAGAAACAAAGGTCACTGCCCCAGAAAAAGCTTTAAAAAAATAAATAAAGGGTGCCTGCAGCCAGCCCCCTCTCCCCCACGGCATTCCTCTCTTGAGGTGGTAAGGTACTGCCCCCTACTTAGGAGAAAACCTTGGGGTCTATATTGAACCTGCACATTGATATTGAAAGTGATAAGGTGATCCAAGCACACATTGAAATAGTTCCCGGGAAGAAAACACTCATGTTTGGGAAGCCAAGCAAAAGATTCATCAGGAATAGCATGTAGTACCCTAAACTACCAGAAATATACTATTTCTTGCCCAGAAGGAATTTCAGCTGAGTAATGAGTCCCTCCAAGGATAGGATTGGTGCCTCCTGGATGAAGAGGAGAACTGGGTTCCCAGTGGCCACAGTGCCTTTGCAGTAGGCCAGATGACCTGGATCTGCCACCCAAGGAGTTCCCTGCCAGAGTCTTATCCTGCATTCTTGCTACATACAAACCACCATAGGAGGGCATCATACGAGTTTGAGGGACCAGAATTTTATCACATAGCCAGATGATGTGAAGAATGAATGAGTTTTGTCTACTTGTTAGGGGTCAGAAGAGAAAATATGGGCCCAGTTATAAATGGACGCCTTTCAGGACAAATTCATTACATCTCTTGGAATTTGTGAATGGGAGCTGGTCCAAGTGTGGCAACGTCCTCGGGTCACCTCTGACATCACACCCCATGCAGAAGCTGGGCCTTCCCTCATAGAAGCACCCGGTGGGGTGGGGGAGGGGCAGAATTCAGCCGGCACCTCCACAGGGACTCCTGAAAGTCACTCAACCACGTCTTTTCTGATGCAACTGACTTACTTTCTGCCTCCATGTTTGTTAAAAGTCCCGCCGAATTTATTCCGATTCAGGATGAGAGCAGCAATTTCGGGCACGTAGCGGGCAAACATTGCCTACATGCATGAAACAAAGAAACAAGAGCCAAAAAAAAAAATGGCATGCAGAGAGGATTCTACCGCAGCGGAGGCAGCAAAACCTCTTGGCATACTTACTTTCTTCCACTAACCGCACTATAGGAGCCCCCGTATTTCTTGCGGTTTCCTATTAACTCTATGATTTCAGGGACGTAGCTGGCAAACATGGCCTGAGAAGACAGGAGACAGAAGAGAGACTAAAAAGACAGGCCAAAGAAAAGGGGGGACCTGTTCAGACGGGGTGGGGGGCATTAAGATCTGAAAACACAAAAGGATTAGGCCTGCAAAGGTATATATTGATACGTTGGGTCATAAAAAACTAAAAGCATGAAAAGAGCAAGCTCCTGGAAATACACAAGACAAACAAACATTAGCTAACCTTGACAACTAAAGAACAAAAAAAAAAATCACAGTCGAGAAAAATACAAAGGAGACAGGAATAAATAAGGTGATATCTAGTTCTTGTTGAAGAAAAATAGGCAAAAGGGGGGCATGCTAGTGAAATTAAACACACACAGGCACACGTGTGCGTGCACACACAGTTTCGCAAGAGAAGATCTTTGTCATTAAATTCAGAGGAGAATCAACGTTTTTAAGAGTGACAAAAGAAAATAAACACCAACAGATTAAAAACTAAATTTTTCTATTAAAAAAAAAAACCACTAAAAAGTACAAAAGGGAAATTTAGGAAATCACCTGGGAGGAGAAGATAGCAAGGAGAAACACAAATCTGCCATGTTTTGTCCAACAAACATCTGGCCTGTGGCTGGCTGGATGGGTCTTGTTATCTATGGGCACCTCACGGATGCTGCAGAAATGCTTGCGTGAATGTACACACGCACGTGCACATTTATATACATTTTTAAAATGTATATGCCCTATGCATACAAAACAGAGAGATGTGTATGCATCACTATATATAAATGTGTGTGCAGTGTACGTACATGAAAGCTGTGTGTGGATTAGGATTTTAATCACTCGCTTCATAAATGGCAAAAAGCTAAACTTAAAGTGAGCTACTTTGAAAGACAAAATGCAGCAACTGCCAATGTGTGGCCAGAAATCCCCTTGATTTACATTATCAGGGATGGTTTAGTGCAACCTAAAGAGCTGCACAGACCTTTAAAAACCAAATAGGGAAACTTTCCTAGAAGAAAGGAGCAAAAATATCCCATGTGTCTGCTGCAGAATGGAGTGAGCTGTTTGCAAAACTGCACTCTGCCCACATGGGGATGTCTGCCTGGACAAGACTAAGGTGCTCTCTGTCCTTTGATGTAGGGACCCTTCTCTTTAGGGCAGGCCCCAGCCACAGTGTTTGTTGGAAGTTTGGGGAGGAACATAAAGGGGAATGGGGAGCTCTTGAAACCGCAAACTGTCTCTACAAAGTATCCATAGCTTCTACCAGAGGCAGGTGACAGCCATTGTTGTTGTAGCATACCAGATGCTGAATTACATTGCTAAGGGGTAGACACTCTCCCTTCTTAACAGCATCACTTTCTTAAGACAATTAGGTGTGCTCCTGGCTAAATGGCTGTCCCTCACAAGGGCAATGTGCCTGGATCTATGGGACAAGTGTAATACACCAAGAATTATGCAGAAAAGTCACCATCCTGTTTGGATTTACTTAGCCTGATTCTAACATTAAGGCTTGCTTCTAGTGCAGAACACAATCTACAATACAAAGCTTTAAGGAAATGTATCATGGAAAGTACTAACAACCATCAAAATCAAATCGTAATAAAGATTTTTTTTACCAGTCCCCCGAGGATGAAGAAGACCATGAAGAGGCGCCCAAGCGTGGTTTTTGCATAAACATCCCCATAACCAACGGTGGACATTGTGACCATGAGTAAATAGACACATTCCCAGTAGGTGAGAGCCTGGTTGTTTTGGAAATTTTCCCATGGGTCCCCTGAATTCTCCACCTAAAGCAAACGGGACAGGGGAGAAAAAAGTAAAACATGCTATTGAAGTGTATACATACAATAAACCCGGAAGCTCAGCATTCCCGAAGGCCACTTGCTAATGCACACCACTCTCCACAGGAGTTGTGTGGTTCCTGGGCTGAGTTCTGTGAGTCAGGATGCAGAGCTCCTGAGCAGGACACAGAGAAAGTGGAGAAGCAGCTGCAGGAAATGTCTTCCTGGCTGATTGGGACAGAGAGGGAAAGCAAGAAGGAAAATATCTCTAGGCCTTTTTTCTTCTTCTGGTAAAATGTCGGAAGCCAGCTAAAATTCAGGGCATTGCCTCTGGCCAGGTTTTAGAGCACTCTCTTCAAGGAAAGAGCCAGAGAGCCCTTCCCTGACCTTCCTCAATGGGTTTCTAAGGCCCAGATGGCCTGGCTCTGCCTCTCCCGCAGAAATTATAAACGCTTCCACAGGGGGCTGCCTCCTTCCATCAGTTTATCCAAAGAGTATATATGGGCCCTGCTTGTTCTGATTCAAACAGCATCTCTGGGATCTGGCCCTGCTCTCCCTCCTTTGCAAATTGCCAATGGTGGTCTTAGCCTTGAGGCTGCCAGAATCTTCCCAGGGGCTTGGAAAGTGAGCTCATGAGAACAGCTTGCACTGGCACAGCCTGTTAGACCAAGGGCTGGCAAACTTGTTCAGTTTTGTGGGCCACACAGGTCCTGGTCAACTTTGCAGAGGCAAAACTTCAACAAATGGGTGTGGCTGGATTTGGAGAGCTTTGGCCCAGGACTGCAGTTTCCCCACTTTCCTGTCCTTCCATCATATTTGATCTGCCAACAAGGCTAGGAGATGGGCAGGAAAGGTACTTTAGATACTCTCAGGAGAGAGGGAGCTGCAGGTCCAATTTTACTCAAATACGCCCGTGATCCACCTGCAGGGCCTGTGGACGGGTGCCTCTGCAAAATGTTTCCAGGGCCTGGCCTCTTTCACACATCAGTTTGTCCTCAATGTGCCATTTTCACAAAAGTTTCCGGTGAACCTGAAGGGACTTCACTAATACCAATAGTAAGGTGGGGTCATCATCTTATTAAAGACTACCATCTCCTCCACATTTGTGATTTGGGTGCTTGGTATTTGGTCACAGCAAGAATTAGGGTGATTAAGGTTGATTTTGGCCAAGAATCCCATCGGTATTAAGGCCTAGGCAGGAGACCCCTAGCCCTTCTGGTGACTACGTGAGCCCCTGTGCCCCACCCTCTGGCCTGTCTTCCTTTGGGTGATAATTACGTAAATCCCACGTGTGGGTAGGTAAGCGTGTCCTTCTATCCCTTATGTAAACAGAGGCTCAGCCACCGGTGGTCAACTTTATCCAAAGTCTCATAGCTAGACGAAGCTCCTTCCAGTTGTAACAGTCTATGTTTGCATGAAACACACTTCCTACAATGGCTGTGCTCTTTAAAAGCAGGAGGAAAGTCTGCCTTCGGGTGGTGTGAGGGGCTTGACTCAATATAAGGCTTTAAAAGAGTCACTAATAAAAAAGAATTAACATTTTTGAGGTACAAATCAGACAAAATAATAATCAAAGATGGCTTTTTGTAAGGGGGAAGTAGAAAGAAATTGAGGGATCTGAATTTGTTGTTTACTAGGAGGTGTGGGTCAAACTTCCAATCTTGTCCCCAGACCTTTTCCAGGTGTTTGCTTAGGAAGCACTGCCATCTTGTGGCTTACTATAGTTCTTGCAGACAGAAGGAAAATTTACCAAAGCCCCCACACAATACCAATGAGCAATGAACGGAAAAATGCAGGTTAATAGCGCAAACATTACTCACCATTTGGAACTAGTTTGGGGTAAAAAGGTTGGAAACCCAGACAATTGTGTGGTTGCTTCCCATCTTCCTGTCTGCAACCGAGGTGAAATTTCTTTCCAGCAAGAAAAATTTTAGGTAATAAAATGACTCAGAGAGGGTCTTGTTGCTGGCAAGCGAGAGCACAAGGGTCTTCAAGGTTACTCACCAAATGGATGAACCCGGCTGCAGTCAGCCACGTGCTGATAAATATGGAGAGCAGATTCACCAGCTTGATGGAATTACTGTGCAAGAGACAACAAGCAAAATCCCCACGTTACCAAGGGAAGGCCCTGCAGGGGCTATCTTACAGGGTAACAGCACCCGCTTAGGGGTAGAGGCTGCCACACCTAACTTCCAACCGTTTCTCCATTATAAGGGAATTCTGGAAGCTGGAGGAGCTGCTGGGATGAAGGTCAGGACAGAGCCTAGAGGAACGAATTTAACTTTGGTAAAAATTGACTTTTATTTTAAAAACTCTTCAAATCTACAGAAAAGTGGAAAGAACAGTATAATGAACACTTGTACACTCTTCATTTAGACAGACCAATTATTAACATTTTACCACAGGTGCTTTATCTCCCTACATGCTTTTTCTCTTATTCCCCACACTCCCGCCGCTCTTTTTCCTTCTCTTCTTCTTGCCATGTATATATGTATTTTTCTCTCTCTCTTTTTTTTTTTTTTTTGCTAAACCATTTACCAATAAATCAGAGACATCATGGCACAAGCCCTAAATACTTTAGCACTCAACTCCTAAGAAGAAAAGCATTGCACAGCATAATCACAATACCATTGCACGCCTGAGAAAATTAAAACATAAAAATTCAGTAATGCTATTTAATATGCAGACCTTATTTAAATGTCTCCAGTTGCCCCAAAATTATGTTTACTGATTTTTTTTTTAAATTTTCCCCTAGACCCAAGTTTCATGCACTGCATTTGGCTGTTAGGTGGCTTAAATCCAACTGTCAGGAAGCAAGGACAGAGAGTAAATATTTAGGCTTTACAGGCCATATAGACGTTGTCACAAATACTTAACTCTGTCACTGTGGCTTCAGAGCAGCTTTCAGACAACATGTACAGGAATAGATATGGCTTTGTTCCAATAAAACTTTATTTACAAAAACAGGCAGCAGGAATGGGTTATAGTTTGCCAATCCCAGCTTCAGTCTCTTTTAATGTATAAATGACACCACTCCTTTGTAATGACATTAGATTTTGTGTGAATCTAGGTTGTCTTCTATAATGTCCTATATTCTGGATCCTGCTTATTTACTTATTTATTTTTATTTTATATTTTGAGATGAAGTCTCACTCTGTCACCCAGGCTGGAGTACAATGGTGTGGTCTCGGCTCACTGCAACCTTCGCCTCCCAGGTTAAAGCAATTCTCCTGCCTCAGCCTCCCAAGTAGCTGAGATTACAGGCACCCGCCACCATAATTTTTTTGTGCTAATTTTTGTATTTTTAGTAGAGACAGGGTTTCACCACGTTGGCCAGGCTGATCTCGAACTCCTGACCTCAGGTGATCTGCCCACCTCGGCCTCCCAAAGTGCTGGGATTAGAGGTGTGATCCACCGTGCCCAGCCCAGTTTATTTTTTAAATAAATGTTATCATGTATGTTTGAGGTTTACAACATGATATTATCTACCATCTCACATAGCTACGTTTTCGTGTGTGACAAGAGTAGCTAAAATCTACATATTTAACAAAAATCCCAAATACCATACAATTTTATTAACAATAGTCTTCATGTTGTACATTAGACCTCTAGACTTGATCATCCTACATAGCTCCCTACTTGAGTATTTCTGTTAAGCATCTCTGCGGAGATGGCATCACATCAGGATATCCCAGCCCAATGACTAGGCCCATTCATGTGGCTGAGGCGGAGATGCTAATGTCTCCACTGAGAGGTGCCCATTTCACTTTGTAATGAATATGCCACCTTGAGTGAGGCCCCGAGACTGCAGGAATATCCTGCTCCCCAACAACTTTATACCTAACAGCTTTAGTATCCACTGGTGTTCCTTGAGTGGATCAACTGGACCTTATGACATTTTGAGCTCCCTGAGAGCTGGGGACTTGTCTGTCTGGATTCCAGGAGCCCTGAGTCCCTGAAGCATAGCAGGCCCCATGACTCTTCACTGAGTGCACTGGTCTCTGCCTCTGCTCTCTTCCTAAACTGCATCCTGTTCACTCCCACTGGGGTATACCTGAAGGCTGCTGTCAGCAGGTCACTTCACTGTCCAAAGGCTTCTTGTTGACTAAAAGATGATATTCAAACTCTCTCCTTCCATTGTCAATACCTTGTGAAGTCCCAGCCTCTCCCACCACCACCCTTTCACATAAGCTCTTGAAACTGCCATCCCAGTTAAACCTATTTACTATAGCTATTGTCTACACTATTTACTCAACTCGAAAGCCTTTCCCATCTAGCCAAATATTCCCCATTCTTCAAAGCCCAGTTCAATCCCTACTGCTTCCTTAAAGTTGTTCCACCCACCTACAAGACAAAGTGACTTTCCCTGGCTCTCACCTCCAGCCATTCATCGGTAATTGATCCTACTGACTTAAGATGTCTTGTGTAAAGCTTTAGGTTGCTATTTGACTCTTGTGTTCCTTGCTGCATCTTGCAGAAAAGAACTCTCTTTTCTAGCTCTTGCATTTTCCCAGTAGTGGCTTAATGTAGCCTACAGTGTTGCCCAATCCATTAGTTTTGGTAAATTCATCTCTGTTACGACTGCCCTCTCTTACCTCTCTTTTGGAGAACCAATGATTTAAATTCTAGGCATTTAAGATCACAGTAATAGTATCAGCTAGCTTGTTTACAGTTCTTTCCCAGTGCTCACCACATGTGCCACCATCCTAAATGCTTTAGGATCACCTCTGCTTTATGTGTACTAAGCCATTTAATGCTCATAACAACACTCTTTCTTCTTCTATGGAACAGCACAGAGGAATCCACGGTCTTAGGTTTTCTAGAGTTGATTCTGACAGTTCATGGAAAGGATAAACAGATACTTTCAACTTTGTGGGTGAGACTGATCTTTCGAGGTGTGTGGAACAACTTTCTTCTCGTTCGAAAACTTGGGAAAACAACGAAAATGTCCATTCTGTCTCTCTTGGTCATTTCTAGAGTTTCCAGATTATAATAACTGCCAATATTTATGGAGCGCTTATTATGTGTTAGATGTTGTGTTGAGCAGAATTCCCTCCTACCTCTACCTTGTAAGTCCTCTAAGGTGTGCTCCAGCATTGGAGGGTAAGAAGTAGATGAAGAACAGATAGCCAGTGGCAAAGGGAGGGCTCTTAGGGAGGTGCGTGCTGTCCATTTTCTCAGGGGATCATTAAATACCAAGTGGCTTCACTTACATACTCCTGGATTCTTGGGACCTGAACACAGCAGTGTCCCACCAACAACCATGTGGGGTCCTCTTGAGATATTTAACCTATTGGAAGTCCGAGCCTCTTGGCGCTTTGGGAAAATGACCTAAATATGCTGATTATTAAACTCTAAATGATGGTTACAGTGATATTGGTAGTGCGTTAGGGAGCTCTTGCCATATGCAGAACATTTAACCATTGTTGCTAAAACAGTCCGTGTTTAGCTCTGAAATCTGATTATTTTTATGACATCAGCATTATCACAGATCCCTAGGTTTAGGAATCTGCCTTCTAAATGAAACACTATCACCATGCATCTGAAAGCTACGAGCAAAAGATGCAAGGTTAACCCCTGGTGGGCATTCTCCATACTCTGAAATGTGAACCTTGCCAGGTTAAGTAAGGCTCTTTGGGAAGAAAGAGTGGGGCATGCCAGGAGCAGGTCTGTGTGCTCTGCATGGCAAAGGTATGTATCTCTGCATGGAGATAGTCATAGCCTTCCTGGTCAAGCCTAGGGATCTGGGCCAAACGTGAAGCTAGCAATGGTTAGAATGATTTGAATCATTCAGATTCTAGCCTGCTTCCTAAGCTTTGAGGGAGATTATGATTTTATCATGAAAACCTCACCCATCTAAAGTAAATCATTCTCATTTTTCCAATACAATTCCTGAGTCCCCATCCCATGAGTTCTAATTCACATCGATGGACACAGTGAAACATGATAGGAGAGGCACACGATTCTTGTAGATTAGAGACCTCTTCCAAGAAACAGTGGATGATGCAAGAGAAGGTCTGGCTCCAAAGATTACAGCTGTAAACCCAGAGTTTCTGGGGCCTTCTTTGTTCTCTATATGTTTAACAAGACATGTTTCAGTTAACACAGAAAATGTCATGCACTTTGTACAAAGTGCACATTTGTCCCTGCTCTGCTTGTCTCTAATTTTTCTCTTTGTTTCTGGTACTGCCAGGTGCTGCTGGCCTTGCTTTGTTTTACTGCTGTATTTGCTGGACAGATATAAAATACCCACCCCCTGAAAAGTTAACTGACTGCACCACACTAACATAAATGGTCTGAACTATAACATGAGTGGAGCGAAGTGAAATTCTGCCAATCCAATCTCTTAATTATCTCTAGATCCCTTCTCCTCTCTCTGCCCCAATTTTCACTGCCTAAAGCCATGCCCTAATAGCTTTTCCCTGGACTACTGCCTGCTAATTGGTCTTATGGTCTATGAGGTCTTTGACGCTTCAGCCCTATTCCCTATACAACTGTTGGAATAGTGGATCTTTCTAAAATGTTAATCTAACCGCATTTCCTCTCTTGATTAAAATCCTTCAACAGCTCTCCTTTGTTCATGTAAAGTCTATGAATCTAAGAACCTGCATGATTTGGCCTCTCCCTGCACATCTCTTGCACTCTCCATATAGAATACTCTTCTTTACAAACTTTACCTTGGAGCCATTTCTAAGGTCATGTGAGTAGTAATGTTTTAATTTCAAAAACGCCTCCCAAAAACATATTGGTTAGGTATATGATGACTCATGCATATCATGGAATGCTATGTGGGAAACCAAAGGTGACGTAGTAGATATAATAGTTATCTCAAAGTAGTATAATGTGGAGGCAATCTTACTCTATCCTTTATGATTTTGTGTGTTATTGCAATGTTTACAATGAACATATTTTTAAAATTAGAGGAAACAGGCTGAGCACGGTGGCTCACACCTGTAATCCCAGAACTTTGGGAGGCCTAGGCAGGTGGATCACCTGAGGTCAGGAGTTCAAGACCAGCCTGGCCAACATGGTGAAACCCCATCCCTACTAAAAATACAAAAAGTAGCCAGGCATGGTGGCGGGCACCTGTAATCCCAGCTACTTGGGAGGCTGAGGCAGGAGAATGGCTTGAACCCGGGAGACGGAGGTTGCAGTGAACTGAGATCATGCCCAGCCTGGGCAACAGAGTGAAAGTCTATCTCAAAAAAAAAAAAAAAAAAAGGGAAGAAAGAAAAACTACACGAAACAATAAGGAAATTCCCATTTTGAAAAAAATTGCTGAGTGATCCATGTTTTAGTCATCAATATTTACCACAGTCAATAAGATGTGGAATTATAGCCTTTAAACACAGCTGCTGACTTTCCTCTGACAGTTGAATAAGTGTTCTAGCACCTGTACGTTAGATCTCCAGTTTGCAGAATAACTGAGGAACTGCCAAAACTTCAGATAGTGAGAGGAAGTCTCCTTGTCTCCCCTTTAATTGGCCCGTTTCAGGCTATGGAGTATTCTAGGCCCGCTGTGGGCTTGCAGCTTGGGAGAGAGCCCTGATGCTGGTCACATAACTGTGATCTGCCCGTTTCATCCTGTGCACTTTAATTTTCCTTCTGCTGCCTTCTTAATTCTTTATCAATCTTTCTGCCCACCGTGTGCTTCTCTGCCTTGTTTCTTTCAGCTCTTGGCCCAGTGAGGCAGCCAAAGTACTGGAAATGAAACAGCAACTCCAAGTCATTATTTCAAATCACATTGCAAAGCCTCCATCCCTACTTAATGCCACAGACTGGCAGGAATTCACCACCAAAGAGCCAGACAAAATCTCCCTAAAGACGATTACATGGGTTCCCCAACCCACCCTCCTGGAAGGACCGCTGTGAAAGCAGCAGAGTATGGAAGAGTCATAGGAGAATTGCTGAAAGTCCAAAGCCCTACAAAAGCCAAGGCTGCACTTTCTCTGGGACAGAACTTTGGGATCCACACTTGGGGATGCCCAAAAGGAAGGAGCCAAGATTAGCCGGGCCGGCACCTGGAGAGAAAATGGCCTCAGAGAGTTGTCCTAGAGCTTCTAGACTTCTTACAATTACATGATATGTGCTTCTGTGCCTGGCGACCTGGCCTTTCCTACCCTCTTAACCTCATCCTCCTCTTTCTTATCACAGAACTCTTAATGTCCAGGAGTGCAGAATTACCCAGAGTTTCCCCAAGTGCCATGCTCTCAGACCAGTGTGCTGTTAGCAGCTTCCTTGATTAGAAGTCAACCCCCACCCTACCCCTCACATGCCCAGACCCAAGAGGATGATACTTAGTTTTCTACAAGGCTTACCTAAAGGTAACCTTCTCCTTGAAAAGATCCTTGACTGCCCCACAACTCATGCCAAGCCCAGCTTAGTTACTACCCTCTCAACCCATGGACATACTGACATCAACATTAACCACACCATCAGGTGGCCTGACCCCCTACCCAGCAAGTTCTCTGACAGCAGGACTCCTAGCACCCACCTTGCTGCTGACACCAATGGGTGCTCACTCCAGGCTTGCTGAATTACCTCAACCATCTGATTATGACCATAAGTGAAGGGAACTCTGAAAACCCAGGTTGTGGCTTTGGGGCAAAAAGCACCCTCTAAAAACAAGAGTTTCATATAGTGTGAAGTGGGACACTGGAGAAAGGCTGTCTTGGGGCCCGGATGGCAGATGCCCAGCCAGCCTTCCACCCTGTGACTCTTCCCTAGGGCCATTCTCTCCCTCATGCCCTGGCTGGCTGCTTCAGCTTTCCCCCTCTACACTGAAAGGAGGAAGCAACCATACTGTGCAGTAGACAGGTGAGTTAACCACCGGGGATGCCACAGCCACTTCCCACATCCAAAGGAAAGAAAAGTGAGTGTACTAGCAGAAGGTCAGAAAAAAACATTCAGATGGTCCATCATTCTCTCAAGTCCTAAAACAGTCCAGGGAGTAGACAGTATTCCTCGGAGCAATGGAAACTTCTCAAAGCTGGCATCAGAGAATAAAAATTCCCTTAACATATGATGTGATTGTGAAACAGGGAGAGACAGACACTACCCGACATTGGAGAGTGTCACAAAACACCACCCCTACCAGAAAAATAAGTGTCTCTTAAGGACAAGGCTCTATGCTTGGTGCCGGGTACTCACCCATTTCACCTTCAAAACACAGTCTAGTGGAGTGAATCTGACATAGGTAAATATTGAAGAGATGCTAGCTTCATTGATCATTTACATTTCAAAAGTAATAATTAAAAGGCAGAAATCAAGCTTATTGGCACTCAGAAAAATATGAAGAAATATAATATTCACTGTATATGAATAATATTACATTATTGCTAATAAATAGAGGACTGACACATTCTTATCTCAGGATAATGAACAGTAAAAGGCAGGAGGACATACTTTTAAAGACTTCAGTGCCATTGGATTCTCTTTTTCTTTTCAACTTGGCTAATAGAAAGTGAATTTGACCTCACAGTCACATAGATGAGCAGTCAGAGAGAGGAAACCAATTTGGAATTAAAGCAAAACAAAATAAACAAGCAGGGGAAAAAAACCACCAACACCCAAGGAGTAAAGCCAATCATAGGTTGAATTTGTTGGCTGTGTCAGGTTCATTCAGGAAGCTGGGTCCCAGCCTGTGTTACCAGGAAAATGATGCTGAATCTAATCCTCCAAACTGCAGATATATTAATTACAAATCACAAAATATGGAGGTGTCCTGTTTTTAATCATTTATCAAATGCGTGAAGGGCAACCAAAGAGGAAATGGAACATTAGAAGTGAGCTTCCTAGAGTGTAATTTCCTAGAAGAGAAATTTATGGCCTGTACTTATTCTCCATTAGAGCACGTCTAACCTCTTTTATTAGTTTATTCATCAAGACAGCCCTGGTTTCAGGCCAGCTCTGCAAGCCAGCAGGTCATCAGGAAAGGGATCCTCTGGGGGCTTTTCCTCCTGGTCCAGTTGTGTTTTCCAGATCACAACGCAGTTAACAGAAGTATTCATGGTGCATTCGGCAGGAGGTTTGTAGGTTTTCCCCCAAAAGGCAATTCACGGAGCAAGCCCCAAGGGCTATATGGATATAAAGTGAACATCTAAAATGTGCTTTGAAATGAAATGATTTTCTGTTTGCCGTATGAGGTTTGTGATTGCCTCTCACAGCATTGCTTCCATTGCCTTTACGACTGGGTTCAATTTCTTATTTAGTGATATAATAAAGGGGCGATTTAGAATCTGGCAGCAAGGACTTCCCAATCAATGAGCAAATCTATCCCTCATTCACTGCGCACCTCTCCCCGTGACACCGTGACTCTTACCTGGGCAACCCCACTGGGCACCCAGATATCAGCTATATCCCTACAATCGTCCCCACTTCCCTGCATGCACAGCTGTTGCTCTCTTTTCACCACATAATTCCCTGACCCTGCAGAAGAGAGCAACCCAAACCCTACTCTGGGTTTTCTCTCCCTCTCCGTGTTAGATCACTTTTTTTGTGAATAATATAACTATTAATAATGTCATTGTGATGAAAGCAAGCACACCTGATATTTGCAACTTGGCATAGGGGACTGGAAGGAAAAAAATATGACAAAGAACATCTTACCTTGTTTTAAGAATATTCAGAAACTGCAAAATTTCTGAAAACTGTATCAGTCTCAGAGCTCTTAAAAATCTCAAACCTGGAAAAAAGAATGGAATAGAGATGCATTATTTTCAATGCGTGGTTTTAATGTTCACAGTCTGCCATTTGATTTACAGTTCCCAAGGGTCGAAGGCATGGGAAGTTCTTGCAGAAGCTAAACCAGCTGGTACCTCGGACATATTCCTTCATTCTGATTCTTGACTGGTTTAATCTCGACTGGTAAATGGACTTTCTCTTTATAAAGGTGGCCTGTTCGGAACCTCTTTAGAGGAAGGGCTCGTGGGGAGAAGCCAGGTTAATGAGACTTTTCATTTAGTGATCTCTGATTGAAAGCACTGTTTCTAAGTCACCTAGCTGTCTGGCAGGATTTTGTCTCTGAAAAATCCTAGGAATTGTTATTGCTCAGGGTAACCCTTGCGCTAAGAGCAGATTGAGAATAAATCGGATAACCTTATGTCTTTGATGGATTTTATTTTTTATCTTTATCTTCAGCCCTGATAAAATGAAGAGTACAGCCCACAGTGTTATCTGTTTTCTATAAACTTCTATATTTTCCTCCCAATAAAAAAAAAGATTGGTAAGATATCACATCCCACAACTTCTGGATTCAAAATTTATATAGTTCCCCGTTTATTAAGTGTTAAGATAAATGGTTTGTCCTTTCTAAATCAACGACCTCTCTTGAATGGAAAAGAAGCATCAGTGTTTAGGTGGCAGAAGAGAGATGGAGAAGGAAAACACATCAAGCACATTTTAAAAATGCAAATTATTATGTTTTAATAGCTAAGAGTGAATTATATTTCTGCTCAGGTGAAATTCATGAGTCAAAACATTCAGAGTCAGTCCTGGGCTATAACAATCTGGCTATTATGCAAAGGAATTACTTACAACATGCTGGTTTATCATCGCTTTGAGACACAATGAATGTCACACCCACTCCCAAGGGGATTTTCTTTTGCAGACTTTCTAGAAGCATTTTATGAAGCACCACCACGTGCCAAAGGCAGTGTGAAGCCTTCCAGTGCATGGAGCTGACAGACAACTCCACACCCGTGGGTGGGGCTTTGTTCTCCCACACCTGTGAGCCAGTAAACGGCAGCCTAGGGCACAGCAGTGAGAAGGAATCCTTACTACCTTCTACTTGAACAAGGAGTATGCTAACGGCGCCCACCGTGGAGCTGTTTAGGTAATAAGGGAAAATTAACTTAAAGCTCATGGGGTGGGGGGAAATCTGACTGTACAAGGAAAGAGGAAGAAAAGGATTGGCTCAAAAAAAATAATTTCTCATCTGAAAAGGATTAACCATCATGAACAGAAGACTTTTTTTTGAAAACATTCTCCTTCTATGCCAAATAATACTTATATAACTTTTATTAAATAATTGCAGAGATGAGACGGGATGTTGATGAAATAAAAAGGCTCACGGCCAAAAGCACAGTTGTAACTGAGCTGATGAAAGGCTGACTTTGCACTGCTGAAAACCGATCACAGCAAGGAGTACAAAACTAAGAAGTCATCTCAGAAAGCAGAGAAAATAAGGGAAAGGGAGAATAAAAAAAGATGAAACTTCAGAAAATAGAAACAGTGGAGATCATAGAGATCCAACCATGGATAAAATGTGTTTCAAAGGGAAGTCCAAACAGCACATTGATCATAAGCAAAGGCCAGGACATAACAGAAAAGAACTTTTGAGATACAAAAAAATGGAGACTAAAAGGTGAAATGAAGGATCAACTTTTAGAGACCAATGCCGAGAAGCATCTGGCTTTTCATTTTCACATTTCAAGTATTAAAATCAAGCAATAAAAATAAACCATCAGTGTTGATGGGGTTATTTACCATTAATGTAACTAAGATCATTATATTTAACAATAAGTGTTAAATGGCAATTGGGCAATTCTCAGAATTTTTAGACAAACAGAATCCAACCCAAGATTTTTATACCCAGTCAAGTGGTTGTTCAAGAATAAAAGTAACAAAAAAACCATTTAAAATTCTAAGGTCTCAAAAAATACATTGTTTGCTCAGTGTGCGCATAAAGTTTCCAAAGAGATTCACAAGACTTGCTAAATTAGAATGGGAGGGGGCAAGGGCTGGAATTTAAATTTATAACAGACTCTACTGCTGGTCCTAACCTTCCAGCCCAACCTACACTGTTATCTCATACCAGTACCACTGTCACATATTGCTGAGCTAAAACGACACATTTAGAAACGTGGAGTAGAAGGCGACTGGCAGTTAGCACTGAAACTATCAAAGATAACAACGCTCTTCCATGTTCATCAAGGGATACATTCCAAGACCTCCCAGTGGATGCCTGAAACCTCAGATAGTGCCAAATCCTATATGTACCGTATATACACACCTATGGTAAAGTTTAACTTATAAATTAGGCACAGGAAGGGATTAATAATGACAATAATAAAACAGAACAATTATGACAATATGTACCAGCATCACTATACTTGTGCTTTGGGGCCATTATTAAGTAAAATAAGGGTTACTTGAACACAGGTAACATGAGTTACAGCAAGACATGGGTCTGCCCACTGAAGGACACTGAGAGACTAATGGCCAGGGGGTGCAGATGGCACGGATGTGTCGGACAAAGGGAGGATTCTTGTCCCAGATGGGGCCAAGCGGGACAGCATGCAACTTAAAACATATGAATTGTTTATTTCTGGAATTTTCTATTTAATATTTTCAGACTAAAGTTGTCTGGGGGTAACTGAAACCTCAGGAAGCAAAACCATAGGTAAGAGGCACTCCTGTAGAAATACACGCTAGCAATGTATTAGCTGCTTAGGGTTTAATCCTGAAAATTGTGTGTGTGCATAGATATACTTTTATTTATGAAACTAAAAATAGAATACAAACAACCTAAACTTCAAACTGGATTTCTTCTTTTTATCTTTAAACGATGGTGTTTGTATCATATATCCGTTGGTGATAGGCAGCTTGCCACATTTGAGTGAGTCATGCAAATATAGTAGAATAAAAGCTTTTCTTTTAATTAAGGTGCATGAAAGTAAAAGGGAGGAAAGAAATGAATGCAGAGCCCACAGGGTCCTATACTCTTGCTAGAGACAAACTGCAGATCTAGCTCTGAGCACCTTCTTAACAAAAGCAAGCAGGGAGACAGGATAAGATTAATAGTGTATACATAAGAGAGAAAACAAACTGGCTTGCAGGAGAATCATTTATTTTTCCCAACATGGAGACCAGAGGGAAATGTCTCCTTGCAAAAGGGATCCAGGGTGATGCAGGAACAAGACCCCTGTGGGCTGAACAAGGGTGGCCTTTACTTATTTGACTGTCTCACACTGGGCATTTTTATGGCACTGAGTTTCATTAATGCAAATGAGTCAGTGAAGTTCTCCATAGGTTAAAAAAGTCCATCTACATTTTATCCTCAGATCAAGCCAGACTATCTGGGGAAATGGTTGGTTTTTCAGGAATCATTCACAATAGCTTCTGTATTTTCTTACTCTGCTAATAAAGACATACCCAAGACTGGGTAATTTATAAAGGAAAGAGGTTTAATTGACTCACAGTTCCACACGGCTGGAGAAGCCTCAGGAAACTTACAGTCATGGTAGAAGGGGAAGAAAATACATCCTACTTCACATGGTGGCAGGAAGGAGAAGTATCCAGCAAAAAGGGAAAAGCCCGTTAAGAAACCAGCAGATCTTGTGAGAACTCACTCACTATCACAGGAACAGCAGCATAGGGGTAACTGTCCCCATGATTCAATTACCTTCCACAGGGTCCCTCCTGCAACATGTGGGTATTATGGGAACTACAATTCAAGATGAGATTTGGGTGGGGACACAGCCAAACCGTATCAGCTTCCTAACTGCTTTCTGCCCTGGACCCCTTGTGGTCTCTACTCAGAAGCCTTCAATGCCCCCCATTTCACACAGAGTAAAAGTCAAAGTCCTCCAACAGCTTAAAGCAACACCACCCCACCACCAGCACTATCTCCTTTTGGATCTGATGGCTTCCTACGGCCACTCCTACTACTGTCTGCTGATCTGGCAGATGTCTTCAGTAAGCCTTGAACACACAGGCATGCTACTGACCCAGGACCTCTGCACATGCAGCCTCTCTGCCTGGAACACTGTTCACCAGATGCCCACATGGCACACTCCCTCACCTCCTTCAGGTTCTTACTCAGTGTCCTTTGATCAGCATGGCTTTCCCTGGCTACCTGACCAAAACATGTAAATCCTCCCACACCACCCATACAACTCCCTATCCTCTTTCCTGCCTTACTTTTCTCCTCAGTATGAAGCACTGGCATCTCCATTATGTGGTTACTTTCTGTCTCCCTCTCTGTAGCATCAGCTCTACGAGGGGAGGAGCTGATGTCTGTTTTGTTCAGGGCTATATTTCCAACATCGAACATACTGTCTGGCATAAGGTGAAGGTTCAGTAAATCCTTGTTTGAACTGAATGAGTGAATCAAAGTTTTGAGAAAGAATTAGATGGCAGAGTTAAAGGTTAGATAATCCACATTCAGAATTCTGAGACTATACGTCACCTACTAAAGGGAAAAGCCACAAGCCCTGCAGGGTCCCCTGAGAGAGGTCAGGGCTGCACTCTTAGGAAGTAGAAAGTAGCTTCATCAGGGAAAAGCCTTAACCAATGACCGCTCTGGCTATACCCAGAAAGAGCCCAGAAGACTATAGACAGCGACTTCAGGCTAAGAGAGGAGACCAAGAAAAGCGAGGTGAGAGGGGGAACTCTTTGGTGACAAGTATTCATCTCCTCTGTTTTATAATACCTTTTATTATTTTTATTCTATAAAATATCTGAAATAAATGATTTTCTAAGGCAACACAAAATAGCTATAAATAGAGTTGTGAAGAAGAAAATGTGTATGTCCCAAAAGCCAGGAATTATATGCCCTCCACAAAAGTTTCCAGGTTCAGAGAGTTTTACAAGTGAGGTTTTTACACTTTCAAAAAATAGTAAACTTCTCTATCTATTCACTATTATATGATCAAGTCTTAAAAATGGACTTATCTATGTTTT